AGACAATTTGCCAGTTGGGCCAGCTGACTTAAACACAGTATGATAGTTTATTGGTACCCATTTTCAAACAGTGTCCCAACAAGTGTTGAGATTAGAGATGAAGTCATGCTCGTCATGAATCATGAATTCGAAGATAACATTATAAATAAAGTCCTAAATAATAGTAATATTATAATCAACGTCTTTATAATCAAAGCGACTTGATCGGCAATGAAAGCGTTTATACTTCACCTTATCACACACATTATTTACTCTGTGCAACCGTGCCTTCTAAGCCTCTTACGACTCTCTTGTGTCGCTCAAACTCTCCAGTTGCTTCTTGCTGTCCCCATTTGGTATTTACTCTTATTTGGTCATACCCACTGTTATATTAGTATTACCATGAAAACTTTATGATAAAAGGAACGTATCGAAAGATTATCAAATAGATAAAAGAAAATTTCAAGAAATTATATTTATTTATGAAAAATTTTACTCATGAACTTTGTACTGTACTACGTAAGATCAGAAGGTACCCAGCGATACCGTGAAGATCCACTATCGAGGCTTTTCAAAGAATTTTTTTGGACTAACTTCTGGATTTTCCATATATTGGAAAATACTTAAAATGTAAATACTAGTATTACCTTGATAAAAATATCCAGTCGAAAGAAAATCGGATGCTGGGAATGATAATGGCAAAAAGCAAAGCACATTCGTAATCGCTTTCACACCTCATAATAGAGAACATCTTTTCAGTTCTAAGACTCTTTTTTTTCCTGGAACCACTTGGCAATTAGTTTGAGATTCATAAACGGGGATCTCTTTACTATTTCGATCCTTTTCCACTCGCTACCTTAAGTATGTAACGTACATCTCGGACTACTCAACGTAAACTCGTCCGCGATGGCTGCTTGAGACTAACGCAGACATCGGCTGGTCCTCGTGCACTTGGTACCACTCCCCAAACCAACGGATTTGGTGGATGATCCAGTTTCTCATTATTCTGGATTTCAGCACAAATTTCTCCATCTCATCCTATACGATTGTCCTATACGCCGATTGCCCTAATTTAGTAGTTCTGTATGCCTCATGGGAATCCCTTTAATCATCCTTCTAGATAATAACTTTCGAATAATTATGGTTATTCTGATAAGTAATAAAGAATAAAACTTCTCTCTGGCTAAAAACAAACTAATATCAGAGCAGATAGAAGCCTTTACAACCCCTTTTGCCCTTTTCGACAAGAACCATCAGTTGCTGGGGATCTCTTAATAGAAGATTGACAGAACTCTATGACTGACACTCATCCCAATCCTTTTATGTTGACAAAGACGAAAAAATCTCGGGTAACCACTGAAAACCAAGTGATCAATAAAATTCATAGCTTGACTCCATACCTATGCCACAGCTGCTGAAAAACTGACCCAGTTTGTTGTACCCAATGAGCAGCTTTCAACAAAAAGCCTAGATTCTACATATTCATGTATTCACCATATTAATTTCAACAACAATAAAAAATTAATCAAATAATTAGATCAAATTAATGGATCGATATTGATCAATTTCCAGTTTTCGAGTATTTTTCATGTTTTCTTTTGCAAAAGCAAAATATTTTATTAATAGCATCGGCCTGTTTAGTCCACTGTTGTCTAAGGTTCGGAGTGCAACTGTGAGGTGATAGGGGGTGTAATGTACTACTTGTTGATTAGTAGTAAGTCTGGAAAATCGAACTTCAACAGCGAGAGCTAACCAGTAGAGAGCGTTCTACAAAATTAGAACCCAAAAATAGAAAATCCCGCCTGAGGGATATGCCTACGTACTCGACTTTCATTCAGCATCGTGGTAGGCATTGAATGCGTATTTGGCTTACACGATGTCATGAAGTGGCCATCCGATGTACAAGTTTGTAGTTTTATCCTCCCAGACAAGTCTGGTATCAATTCACTGACCCTGGAGGAATGCAAGGTTTGGTTGGCTTAGGCGGATATCGATCTCGGATTCGAACTTGTGATCATGCGAGTGAGATAGTGCATTACTTACCACTACGCCACCTTCGATCCTATCGATCCCGCCCAAAGCTGAGATTTTACTGCCAATAATTCAACTTTGTCCCCTTGTGATGGACCATTCAAATAATCTGTTTTTACTATATAATGACGAAATTCTACTATTTATTTAGTTATTCGTACATCTTTTACTAATCGATAAATGCATTTGATTTATTTCCATTTTCATACTGTATTTATGGCCAATTGTTTAATTGCAACAAATGGATGATTAATTTATTAAACTGATGTTATATTTCGAATTTTTACCGGTCACGTTTGCCTTCTCCTCGAAATTTCACTTCTTACTTTCTTACTTCCTTCCTTTCTTACTTCAATTTTTTGACCCAGGCTGACAGCAGAAGTTTTCAGTCTAACCGTTTTTATTGTCTTCTATTTTTTATGTTTTGTATTTGTTTTCAGCATAGTTTTGACTCACGTTGACGGTTACACACTTTTGGAAGCGATATGGAAAAAATAAGTAAAACAAATGAACCACAAGCAAACATCCCAAAGTCGGGCCTAGGTAGCCAGTCAGTTGATGGAAAGCCACTTGCAAAACAAGATTGATGGCAGTAAAACATTTGTGATGGATGACCAATCCTCATGGGGACGGTAAGTTCCGTTCGTCCAGGCCCGTCTCTATAGAACGTGCACAGCCGTGGGGCACCTCTGATCGCGCTGTGCTCTTTCCAAAGTTTTTTTTCCGCTCTCATGGATTGCTTCGTTAGGTCGTTAGTGTTTTGCTAGCAATACGATTGTTCTTGTTCGTTGCTGGAAATTTCTGCTGAATGAAAGTTTGTTCTGGAAGAGTTTGTTTTCAGTCCGACAATGCGAAGAGAGTGCACATTCGAGCCAAGCAGCTATAATATTCTGTTGAGTGTGATATTCTTCTGTGTTTTTACGCTCTCCCTAATGGGCAACTTCCTTGTCATATTTACGATTCTATCGAAAACACATAGGTAAGTTACTTCCTCTCTAAAAATTCGTCTCTGAACTGATAGGCGTGAAGTGGTTTGCGAAAAAGAGTTCAGGGATCGGTGACGTTAGGTCGTGGGGTTCGCCGCTTATAAATGCCGCTCACAACCCGAAAAGCCTAACGTACCTATCACGGGTCCCCCTAGATAATAGAAATTTGGTTAAGACTGTACCGTGGAGTGCTTACGATCATCTACTCAATGTGTAATTCACCTGAATTAAAAATACAGCCGAGTTTTACTGACTTGACTCGGTACGCAAGGGTAAGGAAATAGTGTCGAGTAGCTATCATGGGTACATCTGCCATAGGTAAAGAAATACCACGGGAATAACAGTATGCCGACTACGTAGAACTTATAGGCAGTATATGCTTAATGCCTTGTTCAGATGGTTATCGTAGCCCTTCTCGAATGAATTACATTCTCTGCCATCTAATATCCCATGCAGTAANCGTGAAATGGTTTGCAAAAAAGAGTCCAGGGATGGGTGACTTTAGATGAAGAGGCGAATTTTCCGCTTGGGGTGAGCAGCATGTTCTCACAGGCTACCCAGGGATCTTTATTGTGGGATCCGCCGCTTGTGACCGAGTTTCACTGATTTGGGCTCTGTAACGCAAGGGTAAGGAATTAGTTCCAAGTAGCTGACATGGGCACATCTGTAGTAGGTAAAGAAATACCACGCGAACTACAGTATGCCAACTACTTCAAACTTATGGTCAGTAGATGCTTAATGCCTTGTTCAGCGAATATCGTAGCCCTACTAAAGTGACTAGCGGGATCTTACAGTATGGGCAGTAGTAGGGAGTGGTGAGTGGCACTGCATAGTCCGACGTTTGCTACAGATCCAATTCGGCTCGGGCCCAGGAGCCTCCATCAACCTACCGGAGTACGTTTGTCGATTGAGAAACTGTTTAGCCAAGCTCCTTACCCAGCATTATAAATTAATGAGCTCATGCCCGATCAGTTTTCCACTTGGATCTACTCCCATTAAGTGAAATTAGTGCCTCAAGACTTAACTGAATTTTTGCTCTGTAAATGCACATCTGCCTGGGCAGTGAGCCCCTGATTTACCGTAACTGGCGTAATGTTTTTCCTTCTCACTGATGGTAAGAATGACACAAACCTACTACAAAAAAGCAAGAACCTTTCGGTTACGGTAATTTTTGTCGTCATGGATCCTACTGAAATGACTTAATCGGTAAAGACCTCGGCTATGCCCTATTCTGATGAATGAACCTGAACACACTTCGATTCCTACCGAGTTCGACGGATTCGTTTTCAGGACACGTTCAATCACAAACTTCTACCTACTGAACCTTGCTGTGGCCGACTTATTACGGTAAACTTCGAGTTTCTACAATAATTAGATTTTTTATTATCGGTAATTCTGTGATTCCTAAAGCTCGCCTATATGATATAGTTCTATATATTGAACCTGCAAATCATTTTGCATAATCTTTTACATTATATTATTTGATGATGCTGCTAAAATTCTTTGAACACGTGTCCGTAATGTAGCGGAGGCAGTTGGTGCAGGTACGCTTTCGTAACCGCCCGTGATCACGTAATTATAGTAATCCAGTTGTTGTCTCAGAGAAAACAAAGTGGCAATTTCCAGTTCGATTTGTCTGACTAGGGCGTAATGTGAACGCCTAAAGGATCGTCCAATGGACCAGATAAACAGGGCACAACAGGGTAGAAAAGGGGCAAGGGAGGTAGAAAAAGGGGCGATGTATGTACATTTTGAAATGGGAAAGTTCTGTATGTAATAAGAATCTATTTACAAGCTCTCCCACACAGTCGATGAAGGGGAGATGACCTGCACAAAGACTTCTGATGAAGGACTATTCCGAATAAGACCAGATTTATGAGAAATCCCCGTGCGGTCGCGTTGCGGTAATCGATTATCTTGACGGAATGTGTTGGCTGAGCTAGCTCCTAAATCGATATTTTGGCAATCACCCGTCAGGGGCAAAATGCTTCCAGATGAGCCATGCCCGGGAGGAATACCTTCTTTTTATACGTGTTTCTGCTGAGTGATACTTTAAGGACAACGTCTTCAAAGTACTGGACGGGTTCTGACAACGATGACTTACAACTAGTCAGGCTTCTCAACCAGCATTCGTCACATCCGTCATTTGTCCGTCAGAATACAAGGATTGCAATGAAAGTACATCATGGCACATCGTTCAGGAATTCTAAAAATGTAACGGAACTGCAGTTCTTGGGTGTGCTGAAGGTAGAACATTGAAATATCGGTTGTTTTGAGCCTTTGAACTACGTCGAAGTTATATACCTATCAGGTTTGTCGCACAACTTGAAGGTAATCCTCGAAGTTCTGACGATCTCCGAGCTATTACGTCCCTTTTCGCAGATCTAGTCAAAAGTACCAAATAAAATCGGCTTTTTCAGTTCATTTTTTTATTTGCTTAGGAACCAAATCCATTAAAGTGTAGTATATAAGTATCACACATGCTCTAGGACAGTAAACAAACATTCTAGAATGTTGGCAAAAATTCTGACCACTGAGCGGATCGAACGCCCAACCTTTCGATCTGGAGTCGAACGCGCTACCATTGCGCCAAGCAGTCATGACAGCCCACCCGTGACGACAGGTTTATCACGAGAGTGAACTTATAACGCGCGGTTCTTGATGGCATAAATATTGCATGATTGTATTTGCCCTGCGAAAAATGAGGAAGGGGTCTTATTTGCAGCATCCTCCAAAAGCTGGCTGTCCCTCTAACCATACTATATTCACAGTTGCTCCCGAATTCCTCCCTGGATAATAGCCGAGAGTTTTAAGAGCTGTCAAGAAGGGCATAGCAAGGACGTCTCACTCCAAAACTCGCTTCATTAAAGGAAACTGACCAAAAAACATAGCATAACAAATAGCTGTTCGATGTCAGAAGTGCAAAAGCTTACCGTATCCCAGCTTCTGACGTAACGCTTCTTGAAAAAACAGAAGCAATACGATTAATTATATCATTCATGTGAAGCCATAAATAGATGTAGTTCTCATTTCGTTGCAGATGAATCCCCTTAGGGAAAGACTTTAAATATCATCAGAATGAATAGATCTATTGTTGTTGGATTTCAATAATGATATGACAGCCTTTCTTTGATTGTAATTGTTTAAGAAAAGGGCAGTGACGGATGGCATCGTCATCACGCCCATGAATGCGGGATCGAAACACCAGATCCGACTTTTCGCCAAGTTCTAATGAATCTCAAAAATCACGGGATTCGCAAAATTGAACCCAATTTGTCCGGAAAGAGAGACCCATTGAGAAATACGTCAACTGTTTCTGACCGTACAGGGTTGATTCCCGAATTCGTTTCAGGACAGACTAAATATTCATCAAAATATCACTTAGGTTTTGAGCGCCGTATACGAGCAAAAGTTGTATGCAAGGCATATCACCGAAAAGTAAAATTGACCCAAATTTTGAAGTCTTTAAATAATTTTTGGATTTTTTCATGGCTACAAAAATGTTCTAAGACACGTAGAAGTGGTCATTTCCTGCTACTTCCCGGAATTTTCATCTAGTATTTTTTTATCCATTTGATTATTTCTTTATTTTTATATATTTATTAATTTCCACTTTTTGCAGCAGTGTGGTATGTATGCCGTTAACACTACTGAGCGAGCTTACTAGGTGTTGGCTACTTGGCCGAATGATGTGCAAAACGGTCGCGTTTCTACAACGTGAGTCCTTTTGAATAGAATTTCTTTCACTCTAAAAAAATATTGAAAAAAATTCCACATGAAGTCCAACTCAGTTTTTGACAGCCGATTGTTTTTTTTTCCAACAGTCTCTGCCTATTCACTGACCATACTCCTAATTGAGTGTTTTATACGTTTTTTTTCAAATTATGCCTGCAACAGATCGCCATCTCTATCTTCAAGACACCTTAGTTATAGCAATGGTTTTGAAATTCAAGCTCATTCGATTATTTTCATTTTTTTCATCTAGCCATTCCTTTTACATCACTGGGAACCCTTATTCAGGCAAAATCACCCGGACATTTAAATATTCATAGAAACAACGGAAAACGTTGAATCACTTCAGCCATGTTCGAAGTTATTTGGATGCCTGTCTTAGTCCTGGGCTCTGTGCATCCCTAGTCCTTTGCACTGTTACCCTCTTCCCTCTTACAGATAGTTGACATCGAGAAGATGGGCTTCAAAAGCCCTGAACTTAAAAATTGCTTCAGAATATTGGCAATTTTATAAAATAGTTATCATTAATTGAAGTGTTATTTTACTAAAAGTAACTGCTCCGAACCAATTCGAAACAAAAGAAAACAAAAAAGTCCCTCATAAAGGTCCTGAGTTTTTTTTTTTCCAAGAATCATCGATTTCAAAATGCAGTTGCCTATACGTAAATGCTCCCAAAAGACAGGAATCTCAAGACGAATTCGAATCGTCTCCGAAACGCTGGAAAACAAACGAGTTCGTGTTGCAATGTTTTCGAGAACACATCCGTCTCAGACTGCTCAAAAAGCCTCATTCATGCAGTTGCAGATCCGTTTAGTGACACCCGCTTGCTCGAGTCACTTCCTTGTGCAGTAGGGAGTAGCCCGAGCAAGCGAATATTACTGAGAGGGTTGAGGAGGACGAAAAATCAAGTAATTTTTAGATTTTCGGGCAAAGATTCATTTTAAATTCTGACTCGAGCGAGCACGTATCACTAAACGGATCCGGAGCAAGGATGAGACGCTCCAGGCAGTCTGAGAGTGATGTGTTCTCGAAAACATTGCAACTCGATATCCAGATGATTAGGAAGAACTAAAATCAAGTAAAATTTAGTCAAATTCTAAAAAACTGTTGGACTAATTTAATCCTATCTCAATCTTTGCAAGTCAAACGATGGCAATAGGAAGAACGTCGGAGTTTTACATTCTCAAGTCAATCCACTTGATTGAAAACAATGGCAGCTCCTGACTGGTGATGCATTTTTGAGGATTTTGAAAATCCGTATTCAGAATCGAGCTCGCGATGAAGCTCTCTTGAATGTCTAATGTTACGAACCGTGATGTCCCTAGATGTTCTCGCCCGAGAAAAAAAACATTCACCACTTACACTTGCCAGCAAAAATTACTAAGCTTTCTAATAAATAAGTTTTCGTTTTTCAAAACATCTGAAGTCAACCCTTCAGAGTTTGATATCAAGTTGATTTAAAGCCTATGTTCATGAAGGACTGGAAATTTTCAGCCGTCGGCGTTTGTGCGTCAGCCTACACATTGGCAGTGATTGCCGTTGAACGATATTATGCAATATGTCGTCCACTACAGTCCCGTAAATGGAAGACCAAGGTAAGCTTCACGAAACCATTTATGAGGCAAGCCTTAACACTTCATGCAGCTGCATCGCTTTTTATAGTCTCTCCCATCAGCCGGACAGGTTGAAATGTCTTGAAAGACTACTGACTTCGTTTCTATCTTGAGATTGTTCATGGGACTTTTTGGTGTCTGTCCGGCTTACCACTTCTTTCGTTGAGTTATCATTGCGAAACCATAGACCTATCTTTGGCAGCGTCCAAAGTTTACAAATCGCTTCCTTCTACGGCAATGAATCGGATTTTCACTGGTTTGCCCGGGACAGTAGAAAGTCGCAAACTATTTGTTGACTAAAAAATATTCGAACTGGATGAACTTACATGCCCTTTTTCCGTTGAGGGATTCCCATAGGAAAGCTCAAAAGACATGTGAGCATATGGTTTCTGGTCTATTGGATTCAATTTCAAAAAAAAAAGAAATTGAAAATGAAGCTAGGTGAATTTCCCAGGGGGTCATAAATGTATATTCATAAATTTCAAAGCTCAAAACAAAATTGCAATGTTTCATAACAACGAAATCTGCCACAGTAATCCAACACACAGTAACCCGGCGTACGGTACCGTCAAATGATGACGTCATTCATTACAGAAACGTGCTCTAATCACGATCTCTATGGTATGGCTATTCTCCTTCATTTGTAATGTCGGTTCATTATTTATATTCGATAATGTGCCTTTTGGTAATCATTGGAATTGCGATACAACAAAAGGACCGCTTATCGATTTCTTCTATCAGCTCTATGTGACACTGGTTCGTTCGGTACCCATTTACCTATTAGGGGATTTAAAATATTATTACTATTACTTACGAGTGGATACACATCTAAAACCTCCTGATTCTCTGATATCCCATAGCAGTATCCTTCGATCTGAGCCTCTCTCCTTTCAGGTGCTGCTGTTCATTCCACTTTGCGCTATGGTCAGCCTCTATGGACATGTTATCTATGCACTTTCAACGGTCATAGTCAGCGACAACTCCGTCGACCCCGTCGTTCAACAGTCAATCATGCAAGGTAAATGAAAAAAAATAGGGTAGATGGAGAAAATACCTTTTCTAAAGTGAAAGTGGCACAACAGTGGCTAGAGGAGACACTACCATCTGCACACCCACCCAAATCCAGCATAGTTCGCACAAACCTCACTCCTCGTCTCTTCGGAGCCTCTCCAGTAATGGAGACTAGGGAGCCAATGATTTTATTTATTCATTAATTCATAACCATTCAATAATTTTGCACCAATTTTTTTACCGATTTATTTTTTGTTTTTCAGTGATGAGCCAACGATTTATCAATTGATTCACCACTGAAAAAAAGTAACAAATCTCTTTCCAAGAATTCCTCTTGGATACAGCAACCCCTGATTTTTTGCCTGAATCGTGGGAATTCAAATGTCCTTAAGGACAAAAACGCGAAAACATACTATGAAAACAATTAAGTAATGAAAACTTAATGAGGTCATCGTCCGTTCAAGTGATGAAAGGGAATGGACTGAATTCCCAGGATGTTTCGCGATTTCTCGAGTAGTGTGCCGAGTATTTGACCCATTCCATCTCTCGGATAACCCTATCACTTTTGGCATGAAGAGCGTTGACTTTTGCGGCCGGCCTCTAGGGAGTATAAATTTGTCGGCGAATTGAATCAACGACGACGGCTATGGGACGAGAAAGGCGTAAATGAAATGTGGGGGGAGTAAAGTATGGCAAGAAAATCTAAAAGAGAAATTAAAAGTGTTCGATGCAATCGTAGAGCTTGACCTCGATTCCCAGTCACAGTTGAAAAGACATAAGAGTGCTTAATCTCGCATTGTAATAAATAATTCAATCACACATTGAAATAAATAATCAGTGAACTCTGGAATATGTAATAAAATGAAATGGATCGATCTTTAGTCGGTTTCTGTGGAGATCGTAGTCAATCATGACGTCTAGGAAGAATGCTCGTAAAATGAGATCTCTCAACAATTTCCTTTCCTTCAGAAAGGTCTAAACACGTGCTCTTTACTCTTTTTCTCCAGCTTTTTCCTATTCTGTTCCCACCATCGGGTAGTAAGGCCTCAATCTCCCCACACCCACCAGCAAAGCAAATACGGCTCTTTACCCTAGCGAGATGTAATGCTTCTGGTCGAACCCAAATAAATCCTACAGTATAACCAGATCACATCACTGACAGTGGGTGAAATACTCCTCCCACGCATCGGAATCTGAACTTACATTACCTTTTGGGAATGACCATCATTATAATATTGTAAATAATGTAGTGTGCAAGCTTAATAACGAAATAGACAAAATATCTCCATATTTATCTATAATATTTATAAGAGAGACTGCATGCATCCGCTTATATCCGCGCATTTCCTAATATAATATTTACTTGCCTCACCTTTAAACATAGTAGATAAACAAACAAATATCAAATAATTATACCGTAACTGTAAATATGACCACGACAACTGTACTGTAGCCGTTCTGCTTTGGTATGATCCAGGATTCATAGAGCTATGCGTTACTTGAAATTTACACATCAGTGGGGGGAAAAGTATTTTAATACCTAATTTTTGCAAAAAAATTGAAAACAACGTAAGCGAAAATCGTAAAACCTATTTTCAGAGTTGCCTTTATGTACGTCGACATTCTCCGAATGGTTATATGCATCTGTTGGTATACCTACTATTAATGGGAACAACAATAAAGTGAGTTTAACAATCCTTCCCACAAGACTTCTGGGTGCTAAAAACTTATCTATCATTTTTTCCTCCTCTTTTTGTCTATCTTTCAATGCTTATCTCTTGCAAGTATGAAGTCACTGGAAAAATGAGTTTTACTGCTCCTAGGATTATTTTTCTATTCGGAATCCCCACTTGACCGAGTACTTTCTCGAAACTTCTGTCGAATTTTCACAAACTACTACGTAGAACTAGAGCTTAACTGATACATAAGCGGTTAAAGCAAATGTGCCTTCAGTTTTTCTTTGAGTTTGTCAGAATCTCTCAAAATTCTGCTGCAAGAGTTCTACCAAGACCTATAAGAGTCCTTCTTTTCCAATTTCTACTTAGCAGAGCTAAGAAATTGTGAAATTTGAAATAAGGCGAAGATGAGTGGTACGGAAGATCCACTGCTGTCTCGCTTTGCCCAATACATCATGCCCTTCATGCGGCACTCAGTAGGACATTTTCCTAAGTATTGAGAAAGGAAATTGATGCCAATTTGCCTTAGGGTTAGCACTTTTGTTTATGCGTTTTCTTTATGGAATTGTTGCTTACATATCTACTCACATTGTTTACATAGCTACTCACAACTTCACTATCCCTAGAGTAATGTATCTAAACCAAAACTAATTATGACTGCCTAGAAGATCGAGTTCCAGGCAAGGTTCCGCATGGAATCTCTTCTAAAAATAAAAGTCGAAGAAGTCTAACGATTAAGGAACATTACCATTAGTGGAAACTACTAGGGTGTGGGTACAAAGAGGGGTGCATAACCTGAATGAGTGCTATATCCAGCCTAAGCCTCACAAGGGCTAATTGGAAGAATTTTTCTACAGTTATTCAGCATTTCTTAAGCCTTCAACAGACTTTTGTTCCTTAGGCGTAATAATGAAAAGAAAGTTTTTATTTATACATTTGCCCTCTCAAATAATCATGATTTTTCCATTCCTTATTACCTATGAAACCTAACCTTTTTTATAGTTAGCCTTACTGTGACTGACCAGTACTTACAAGAATTGCCCACTGAAAAGAAGTGAAAAAATAATGAATCGTAAATCACTTTTACTTCACTTTCAATATTTTCTTGGAAAATATTAAAAATATCAAAATATTAAAACAAAAAATGATGTCAGAATATTGAAGTAAAATAAAAGTATAGGACTTTTTACAGGAAAAACAACAGTCATTATCAATTCCCAGTTCGGATAAGCTATCGGTTCGACCACGATCCCGGCTTTCGTCGATCAATACGCTGTTTGGTACTCCAAGATCGAGTTTTGATTCAACCATGTTGCTCAGAAGTACTAATCAGGTTCGTTGGGAAGAGATATGTATTTTGAGAATATATAGTTTTTTGGGAGTGTATTATATCTCGATATAGTCCATCACATGTACGTAGGCTTAGTGTAACCCGTATGCACGGCTTATATCAGATGAACTGATTGAAAATAGGGGCATTTATAAGTTACACCAAAAAAGAATTATAATGTTAGAAAATAGGAAAAAGTCAAGTCAATTCACATCAACCAACAGCCTGCACCTCGAGTAGTTCACTGAATAAGAGTGCGCCATGCATTCGCTCCATTCGACGAATGGCCTATCCGACTACTTGTAATTTACAGCAAAAACATACTTACACATAGAACTTTTTGAGATCATTTAGAAATTCCGAAAATGACAACGTGATATTACAAATTGTTACACTCAATGTAGCATAATATTGTAACATGTTAGAGGAAAAGAAATTTATTACGAAAAATACAAAAGTAACTTTTCCTGTCCTATTCTTCTACGTTTTCATGTGGATTAATTCCAGGAGAAAATTCTATGCGCCAAGAAGAAAGTCACCAGGATGCTGATGACGATTGTAGCAGCATTCGCTGTCTGTTGGCTTCCAAATTACTTATGGTGGCTGCTTGTAAGAGCATCGGATTTGGCGGTTAGTTGAATTTTGATCTTGAGAGAAAAGAAATAACTTTATGAAAAGTTACAGCACTCATAAGGGGATTGAGTATGATTGTCTATTTTCTAGTTTGACTGTATACTCAAAACCCGATTTTCCATTTTTGAAATCGTCGTAAGGCATAGTAACTGGCATATCAATAAGGTATCAGAGGCAGTGATCACGTCGAGAAGTGGGCGTGGTTGTCTAGAGTGGGCTGATCAGCGGTGCTAACCAATCAAAGGTCATTTCAGCTCCTGGTGCGCGTCTGATTAGCTGGTTCTATCCCAGTCTGCCCAACCCCAGTTTGGTCGCAAACTACGGGTACAACGAACTCCTGAAGAGCTACATACATTTTTGCAGCTATTTATGGAGGGTCTAGCAAAAAATGTGCATCCACCTTGGGGATTTCAATGTCTATATATGCCTGTTATTAATCCTACTTTCCTCCTGGGAACCATTTGTCAAGACGATAGGCCTGTGCTCCAATTCACCACCCAAACGCCTCTTGGAATATCTCCCTAGTCGAAAGGAGTATCTACGCATAGAAGGGGTGTGGAACAAATTGAATACCTGTAGTGTTTATCGGCCTACCATACCATTTCTGTCCCAGAATACTTGTTCCCTATCCCAAACGCTTTTAAACGTCTCCGTGGCTCTGAAGGTCTGTGGATTCTTTAAAATAAGCCAAGGCTAGTGAGTGCTGGGTAAANTGTACAATGCGCCAGACTTCCCTACTTTCGATAGCCAGAGAAACGTGTGGTATGACACCAGCGGGAAATCAACAGTGCTCGTAGACGCTTTCATTATTTCGTTCCGTAGTGGTATTTTACAAAACGTTTTTCCATACTGTCTTTTTTGAAATGATGAATAAACAAGTAAGTAAATAAGTACACCTATGCGATTCTGACAACAACAACCAGCTTTCGAAGAGCTGAAAAGAAATAGAGTAGTCTGAGCCTCTAGATCGTGCAAGTCTACTCTAAAAAGCCGTTTTTGAAAACCCAAACATAACTAATGTTGTTGTTGTTTAGTTTGTTCTGACGCAGTCCATTATTTGGTACTTGCTACCTCCATGTACTTATGCGCATGCAATAAATCTAAACCTAAATCTAAATCTAATGATTGTTCAGGGTACTCCAATATGGCACTCTGGTCTGAACATGGCCCTAACGATACTCACGTATATCTCGTCCACAACGAACCCGGTCACCTATTGCTTCATGAACAAAGGATTTCGTACATCAGTGCTATCCTATTTCACAAGGCGGAAGAAATCGGTAAATAGCCAACGTTCCATGTGAAAGATGCATATTGATTGGCAGCAAATTTCAAATAGGCTATTTCCAGCGCCACCGCTCAGTACAACATTCACGTAGGTCACCGCCACCCAACGAAGCAGCACGTGATGTTGCTAACACTATTCCGCTTATAAAGGTATGGTTCGATTAATTTTTTGGAAAAGAAAGATCCTGATTATGTGGGCAAATAGTGCACTAATGCAACATCGTTGACTACTGACACATTGCCTCAAATTCATCGGTTGGGCATAGCCCAGGGCATTGTATGCCCTCCACGTTTTTTGAGAATGGTGCGCTACTGGTTTTCCAGCCCAATAACCAAGATTTGGCCACGGTCACCTCCGTGAAGTGGGTTGGTCTCTTCCCTTTAAAAGAAACCCCTGTAGTGTCGGATTTTTGCCTGTACTATGCGCGTAAACAAATAAATAAACATTGTGGCCAACCAGTTGACCCAGCTCTCTGCTCCATCCCTAAGCCCATGTAGAGACTAAGGGCTCCATGCCACCGCTGCGCCACGTCCACCGAACAAGTGATGCAATCAGCATGAATCATCTAGAAAAGCCGGTTGGGTATTCGAATAGGTCACGTGTTGGTACAAAGGTGAACTGGTCTTGAGCAGATGTCGCCCACGTCTCCAATGCTAATCGTGCCTTTGCTGCTGAAAAAAAACGCCGTGGGGATCGACTTAAACATTCAGGAAAAGAAGATAGTTTGCCGTAGGTTAACTAGATCAGGGGGGTTCACGCCGCAAATTCGATGTCCATCCAAAACCGTAGCAAACTAATTTGACAGTTGGTCTGATACAGACTGAACGTTAGGGTGTTGTGGAGAAATCGCCATTTTGGGATGATTGTTAGACAAGGCTTTTGGTTATGGGTTACCTACCTCCGCCCACATTGATCCCAACTGGCCTCCTAAACTTAGTGTCATCCAAATCCTACGGATAAGAACATGAATAATCGAAAATGAATATATCGAATAAAAAAAATTATTGTGAAATGTGATAATAGATGTGCGAACAAATAAACATCAAATAAGTAAATAACAATTTTCAGATCGACCTCGTCGAGTCGGCTATTCACATGTGAATGCGCAGAACTTGTGAATCAACTGATCTTTCAGTCTTTCTACGGTCAGTTCTCCCGAAACGATACCGTCTCTCGAGCCATCCCCTCATCGACACGGCCTACTGCATCCTTATGGCTTCCTTCTAAATTTCACCTTTCTGTAGCCTTCGTTTTTATAGGTAATATTTGTGCCCACCTTTCGCGTTCCTCGGAAACTCAAGGTTTGCCGGTGATCTCAGTAATTCCGAAGATCTTTTAGCATTTCCAGAAAGTTCCATTGACTGGTTCCAACCTGTCCCTATCAACGAGAAGTGTTTTTCAGAGTAGTAAGCCAACCCAATCCATGGCTTGAACCAGGGCTTCTGGGAGACAGCCTTTACCAGTTAGACCACTCCCCAAATACCCGTATCGTTCCGTTTCGGCGCCTGGTCGTCTCACTGGTCTCATCAAAGTCTGTGTGTATGTGTATTTCTGATCAAAACGTGTTTTGTGTATCGATCGCCCACGCTCCTTTCCACAAGTCGCCAATTGATTTTCCATGTCATGTCCTCCAAAGTGTTTACTGAGAATGTTGATTGTAAATAGTTGTTGAATTGATATGTTTACCCATTCTTTATTTGCCAGCTGTGATTTGTTTCATGTGTTCTATGTACAACTAGGTATGCGAATAAATTTGATGATCAAAACGTCATAATAGACCAGACTTACTCGCTTTAGGATTAGATGAACCATTAGTAATCAATATCAATCAATAATGGAAAACTATGAACGGATACGAGTCGTAGGTCGAGGAGCATACGGTGTTTGCTGGCTTTGTCGGCGTAGAGAGGATCCATTTGCTCAAAAGGTTAGACGCTAACTCCTGATTTTGCTTACAAGATACTTTATCATCCTACCAGCAACCAATCAATATCGATCGATAACATGAAAATGCGAACAATTTCTTAATTATATCACAAGTTTCTCTGAGCTTTCAATTTCTATCGAGAGTTCTGCCTCCAGAACTGCATTGCTCATATGTAGTTACTCCTGTGATAGGCTGTTTATGTACATATGTAGGTACCGGGGAGAAAGAGTCTTCTAAGATGAGCCATGTATGAGACGTCAATCACGAATTGTGTACCCAATTGGATGCACATATAGTACTAATACCACTAGGGTGAACCTATAGGTCCAAATGATAACATTTAGAACATTGCCGGGTCGGAAAAAAAATCTAAGAAAGGCGCAAAGTAGGGTTTCGAAAGGCCTCTCCGACGCACACACCCAAAAGTGGCCGTGTTATGACGCCTTTATCGAGGTTGCATCATTCTCAATGGAGCACACATGCTATGAGTTCATAGAACTAGTCGAAACTCATGGCAACAATGGAAGGCATTTTTCGACATTTTTGATTTACTGTAGCTCAATAGCATACAAGTTCCAGCTTGTCTAAATACCCATCCACACCTCTTCAGCCGCCGTTACATCGTGCAACCCCTTTTTTTACTACTTTTTTGAGGCTTTTTTTCTTCAAAATCAAACGATTTTTGCCCTCTTGTTGCCAACGTTGCACTACGCCGTACTATTACATCCAATAATCCATTCAAACAACCACGCCGGTATCTCACAATCATGGTAAACTGTATCTTTGGCCTACCGAGCAAATGTACATACTATTTGCTTCGAATAGCTGCCATTTAAGCTGAGCCACATACTTTTCGAACGTAGGTATTACCAATGACGTCTTTGAAGAAGGTTTAGGCTTTTACTGTTGCCGTTTTTGGAATGGGCCTCCTTATTAAACTTTTTTTCGGAATCGTAGTGCGATTTGAATGCCTGTGTCGCTGATACAGTTACTTGAGATGCCTAGCCGACACAATCCTTTGCTTTTGTTCTCCTAAAAAAAATATGGTCCCAGCTATGCGCTCCTTCTAGGCGGATATCCATCAGAGTTTGATTTCCGGACCATGCATATGCGATAGTGTGGCATTTGCCACTACACGCCCCTCCCACTGCCAGTAATGTCAAAAATTCTATCCCTATATAAGATGTGGGAGCTATTTTAGCTACTCTCCTTTTTGGCTCAAAATTCCGTAGGTCCCATCAATTTTTAGACCAATAAAAATCTCAATATCTTATTTTAGGTTATCGTCAAGACAATATTCATACATGGTATGAGTCCCGATGAAGAGAAGTCGATCATGGGTAAGTTTTTTTTTTCACACCGCTAATTTTACTCTTACCGAAAATAAGCTCAGAAACTTAGCTTCATTGAAATTTCTGTAGGAATTTGTTGCCTATTCAATTACATAACTCTAGAGAACTTTAGAACAAATTCGCTTCAGCCGAGCTTGGCAATTCGTGCCGAATTTGCGACCTATCCCATAAATCTCAGCTCTAGCAACATCCAACCAAACGTAATTTGACTGCAGTTATGCAGCATACAATAAGATGAATTACATTTTCCAAATTTTAGCTGATCAATGCTCCCAGTAAAATTCCTCATTCATAGAATTCGCAGTAACAAAATTATGGCTGCTAATCATAGGGATTATTCGTTAAAACTTGGGCTCAGGAGGAGCAACATCAAGCCCTAACTGACCAATCATTGAGAGAGGATGGTGTAGGAACCTACCGATCCAGTCCACCTTGCCAAAACTACAGAGCTGATCATGCCTTTTTATTTGTAACCCTTCTGATGGACGCAAAATTCCGAAAAAAGCTTTAATGATCATTCTGTTCTGTGTTTTAATAAGACGAATTCAAAGATAGTTTTTAAGGTGAGGTGAAACTTCTGCAGAAAATGCACCATCCAATGATCATTGGCTATTACGACTATTTCGTTTTTGAAAATCAACTCGCTATTGTAATGCAATATGCTGAAGGTGGAACAATGGAACGTTTAGTGCAGGAACAAAAAGGTCAGTTCGCTTATTATCCCTACATTTTGAAGCCAACTAGAATAGTGTAAAAGTAAGGGATAGGTAGAACAGCAAGCAAATCCCAGAGCCCCAGATTGGTTCTTAGATTCATGCCCACCCTGTGCTTTTAAACCTCCGCATAGGTGAACAGCGAGTAGACTCGTTCAATTTGACCGTGCCATTTGTTAACACTGGTTTCCTTGAATATCTTATACAATTTGGAGCTTCAATCAAGCAGCCATTCAAATGATACCGGAATGAAAATTGGGGCATAAGACATCGAAAATGGGCTGATTAATAGTGCCCACATCTAGGGGTAAGGGATATCCCATGCTGTCCCCCTCCCTGACAACAACGATTTGGTACGTTAAGGTGTAAGTGCAAACCACGTCCAGCATTGGAGAACTTTCTTAAAGTGTATTTTTAGGTGTAAACTTTCCCGAATCGCAAGTGCTCAACTACTTCACTCAGGTGAGTGTCATTTTGTAGGCGAAGTAGGAATGCTCCTTTTTACTGCTAGCCTTTAACTAGTCACAAGACTTTCAGATTCTTATCGCCCTTAATCATATTCACTCGAAATCGATCGTGCATAGAGATCTCAAAACGCAAAATATCCTTTTAAACAGGTTTGATTATTTGAGAAAGAATTCGTTTTACTTTAATTTTTCCCATGACGAAAAAATTGACCTGAAGCAGCTGAAGAGGATACATTGTACTTCCTACTGGTACCCACGTTACAGGGAATAACTTATAGAGGGGTATGAAGAATGATCTCATGTAACTTCATCCCATCCAACCCATTTCCCTCATTTGGACCCTTTCTTGGCCTTTTTGCTCTGTTTAATGATCAGCTAAAATTTTTAAAAGTACATCTCCTGCCTTTTGCGATAACTAACCTTATAAACATGANCCTTTAGGATCTATCAAAATACGTACCTCACCTACTCTAACAATTCGGTCAGTTGCAATCTTGTCATTCTGGGAAACATAAAATTTGAAAAGATTGAATTATTTGAACAGAGCTGACTGAAATATAAATGCTTTATATTGAATTTTTAGGAAGAAAACCCTAGTAAAGTTGTCCGACTTCGGTATCTCCAAAGAGCTGACCACAAGGAGTCTTGCATCAACGGTCATCGGCACGCCGAATTACCTCAGCCCTGAGATCTGTGAAGGTATCAACTTACAAACTATACTTCTTAGGATTACCCATTTCTTCAAACACTCTATATGAAAACATATTGGGTTGTTAACAGCTTTTTCCACTTTGAAGCAAAATCCTAAATGAGCCCCCTCCCCAGATATTTGCAAGTAGACAGTGGAAGAGATAAGTAAAAAGCCAGGAATTTCTCCCTAATCAATTTACCATCATCTTTTTAATTGGCCCTTGCCCGCACTGGTACGATTTTATCGCTTTCCAATGGGGCTTCTGTGACCACGGCTAACAAATAGATAAAAAATAAATATAAACAGAAGGACTATAAACAGACGCAGAAACAATTTTGTGTTCATAAACAGAAAATTGGTTGCTTCAGGACGAGCATACAATCAAAAAAGTGATCTATGGTCTTTGGGTTGTGTGTTATACGAATTGTTAGAATTGAAACGAGCATTTGATGGTGAAAATTTGCCGGCCATAGTTATGAAGATCACTAAGGTCAGTCTTCAGTCAATACTTATATCAATAATTATTTACTTTCTTGTTTATTTTGCAAGCAACGTGTGCTGGTACCACTAAATAGAAATAACTGTTTGAATACTTACCGCTAGACGATATAATAAGGCAATAAAATCATCGGTATGGATGAAGACAAGTGGCAAATCAATCATTTCGACTACGAGGATAGATTCTCGGATTAAGTTCTGAGCAGACCAAGAGAGGGGCTTTCATAAATGTGGGATCAGTTAAGAGGCACCACATTTGAGGGGACGGCACAGACTCCCTGTTTAAGAATGCGCCAATACTTTTAATAGTAAGCTCTCCGATTACTTCTTCTGAAGAGGTAACCACTTCAGTGAGGTATTATCGACTATCCCAGACACATTGGTCATATTATGAAATATACCTTGCACACTCACACATCACATCATTGTATCGAGCACAAACATCGCCGGTGACATACTTTTCCAATTTCATGAACACCTGTCAAAATAAGAGATATCTTATATGAAAAATAAGCTATGGTAACGTTTTGAAGAAGAAATATATTTTTTTAAATGCCATTCCTTTTTTTCCTTCAGTGTGCCTACCCACAAATTGGAAGCCACGCCTCTGCTCAAGTGAAAGGGCTTGTTGCTACTTTACTGCAACTCAATGAGAGGAAACGACCGGACACCAAAGGTTCTCATTTATTTCCAAGATTCTTTGTCTCGTTCAGCATGCAAATCAAAAATACACGTGTATACTTCAAGGTGCACTTCAATCGACGGGTCACCTTGATAAGTTGTTATGATGCAGGCTGTTTACAGTCATTATAATCTCATATAAGTATGATATAAAATAATTAATATAATCATTCTGAGAACGATTATGCAGCATAACATTTCCGACAAAAAGTAGATTATTTCCAGAATTGCTCACGTGCCCTTTGATACTACCCATAACGCTAACTATGCATCTGGATATCGGTCGGCTGTCGTTCCCACAAAACGACAAGGTCAGTAACCTAAAGAAATTGAACTCTAGACAATGGACCGTTACTGAAAGCCGCTTGAGAGACGTTGTCTGGGGGAGATGGATGGGTTGGTTAATAAGCCGGAGAAAATCGTGGACAACAGTTAGCGAATGGAAGTTCAGTAAGGAGTACCGGTTGATAATAACGGTTAATCCTTTATGAACCTATTGGCATACCGACTGGGGTTGCTTCCTGGTTTTGATTCTCGGGTGCCCTAGCCGAGGTCTGTCGCGCGACAAAGGTTTCACCCAGCTATGCGAGGCCGCGACTATAACCACCCTTATTTTTTCATAGCATGGGATTCAATCTCGTTTTTTTGGAACTGTTTCTGTATCTCAATCATATTTTTAGCGTAAACCCAGTGCAAGTGGACGCCTTCGTACTACGCCCACATCATTAACGTTACGAGCTGGACAACAACAAGCGACAAAACTTCAGGAAGATACTAGAAGAACACTTCGATGAGAAAGAATTTCACTGAAGATGAAATATATTAAAAATAAATTTCACGACAAATTAAACAGCCTATATATTTTTGGCATTCGATTTAGTCTAGACATACAGACACAGAAAGAAAAAAGCGTATTTAACTGAGCCATGAAATCATTCAATTCGATCAATCAGGGTTTTATCTAACACTGTCAGTCATTTCACATCTAAGAGCTTACGTGCAAAATATTTATCTAATCATCAAACGAATGAATTCTGCTGCTCGGACAGCCCTTGTTTTCAACTATTTTCTTCACTTATCAACAGGTCTAATTTTTCCCCGAAAATTGCTTTGGAGATCATACCAGAGAGGGCCCATACATTTCACCGTTGATAATATTCATTGAAGTGGTCCAAAAAATATACAGACTGGGTATGGTGAAGAAAAGGGGCCATTTTGAGGAATTTTCTCACCACCACTTAGTACACTCGCTTTATACAAACAAATTAATACTCGTATTAATGCTATCCATTTTGGCATACGTAACTGATTATTTTTACAAAATGATGCCCCTTTTCACTTTTGGGAAACAGTGAGCTGGGCTTGTGGACCAACTAATGATGAACAACTGGTGTGATTCGGGAATAGTAAAATTGTTAGGAAAAACTCTACAAAGTAGTATTGTTTCCTTCGCGTATCTGGGAAAACAGCTGAATATGATAAACAATGCTACTGAACCAAGCCGGAGAAGACGTGCTGCATGAGCAGCTTCTAGTTCAATCCATGAACTGTCAGAGGGTAATCCCAACCTCAGGGCACCAATATTCAGCGCCTCAGTACTGCCAGCGACGCATTAGCAACTGAAACGAGACCTGACAACAAGACAATCGCTAAAGCCATAAGAACTACGCCTCACATATTAGAAATTGTTTTAAGATCGGCCGACGTCACCAGCGACACGAACGCTTGCCAATCTCAGACCGAAAGGAGAAATCGCGTTTGAAAGACCCTCTACGGTACCTGCCATTAGACGCACCGCTGGTACGGTCTTCAGTTCGACGGAAAGATGAAAGCTGGAGTCCCCTAGTCACAAAATGGCTTCATAGAAACAAAACAAGAAGTTTAAGATGATAGCCGATTCGTTCTCTGAATAGCCTACCACAGGATGTAAGTTGGAAAGATAGGGTGGTATAGAAGAGGTTCAGTAGGCGACATTGGCGGAGAGACGTTTTCACCAAACTTTAGACCACTACTGAATCGTTCACAAATCCTTTTTCGCATTCACCTTGCCAAATAGCTCTTTCACAAGCCCTAAGCACATTCTCTAAACGGAATTTGTAAAACCGGTCCCATCACGAGCGTACTTTTCGATGAAGGTCGTACCTGCACTTCCAGAGGGTGACCAACTTATGTTGTGGTGGTGGCTATAACGCCTACACTCTCATGCTTGCAATTAAAAGGGTGAATACGTAGGTCTTCCAGAGTTCACTATGCTTGAAGCGTAGGCGAATAAACAGGTGGAACAATAAACACGAGTTCTCAGGCAGTTTCAAAGTCACTGCTCCGGTTAGGCCGTCCATCATACGAGTCTCGAAATCACAAAGTCTCCAGCTGGGCAGCTGTTGCCATCGTTTGCTTCAATTGTATTGCACACAATGCAAGCTCTGGACGTGCTCCTTTCTTCCAAAGTACCTCATCATGAAGTGAGTTTTTACCCATTCAGGTTACCGTTTTTGACTGATTGAAAACTCAGCCGATTCTTGAATGAGCCTGTTTATCTACTGCCAACTGCTACTTTTGCCTTCATGGTGTTATCTTTTCTGCAATAACAACTGACACACTACTACGATTCCTCGGGGTGAGAATCGCATTCTCTCTTACGTTAACTCTTCCGCCTCCTCATCCTCTCAGCCATGTTTACTCTTCATTTCACATTTCGTCACATTTCCTCTTGCTATTGCTTTGATGCGTACCAAACGGCATTCTCACATCCTTTCTTATTTGATTTCGGAGCTTCCGTACCACTTTGGACAGCCTCTCCTTGAGCTATAATAGCACATGAAATGTAGACAGACTTCATTCTGTTTCGACAATTATTTGTTTATTTATTTATTGTTTGCACCCAAGGTCCGCTTAGTCTGGACACGCTGCATTTTCTACCGTAACACTCTTTCACTCTTTCTTATCTTGTCGTAAATTTATTCCATCAATTTATTTTGGGATTAATTATTATAATTATTGGAGTATTTGTGAAACTTGATATATTTTACAAAAAAAANAAAAAAAATCAACTAAAACTATAAATTATAAATTAAAAGCGGATGGTTCCACTAAAAACCATATCGAAAGGCACAGAAGTGTCAACGTACTGTTTTGCACTGTTTTGAGGTTGAAATCGTCTAGATAAGTACGATTCCTTCACAAAAACTAGGATTATATTCGAATTAAGGTACTGGAATTAGGGCAAGATTAGGTTCCTTAACTACGCAGTAGACCAGCACGGTTTGAACCATGGGAACACTGCTACTTCATATAGAGTCCAAGGATCTCGTCCACGATTGGCACCCTCCCAGTTCAACTAAGCCTTTCGTTGCTCATCATTCGTCGTTCAGTTAGTATCGCTGCAGTACAAGAAAATGAAAACGGACATTTTCACATTGCCTGACTTCCAGACGCCACTGCTCATAGAAGAAATACCCATTCAAACGCTACAGCAATCCTGAGTGTAAGTCGAATGCGAGGGTGCATTTCGAAACAGCGACTTGGTCCACGTCAACAAATTTTCCCAGTTGTTCTTTATTACTCGCAGTGAAACGAAATGTGTGGGAACATCTGCTCTACGACTTTACAGCTGTGCGATTGATTTCCTCTGAGACAGTTGAGTCTTTCGGCCATCCCGACACTGACTAGCTAGATGTTATAAAAAAAANAAAAAAAAGCAAAAACACCTTTTCACTGTTTTCAAAGGTAAGAGAAGGAGGTGATTAATATCCAAAAGCTCAGGAATGTGCACTAGAGGTAATCTGACCAACTGATTTTGTACGTGGCGTGGCTCAGTCAAGAAGGCTTGAGCAAGGTCTACCTCTCCCTCATTTGCAATAGCTTTTCTCAAGGTTCTGCTATTAGACTATAGCGGACCTATCGAAAGCCTACAAGAAAGCCAGAGGAAATCTCAAAACTGCTAATCATTATTACATTGCTGAAACTGGGTTTTTGTAAGTTGCGTCGCCCCACACGTGTGAGGACGAGGTCCCACGTACTTCACTTCCTTTCTCTCAGGTCGGCCAACCTTTCCATTACTCTAAGATCGAAATATCACGGGTTTTTCTTGTTATCAGACTAGAAGGGAGGGTAAAAGCGCCTGCTAAATGCACTGAGTATTCAATGCAAGCTACTTGATCAGTCTTTAGCTTAACTCACCACCCTTCTGAATGATATTCAAATACGTGGAGGATTCACAAACAGACCTGGCCAATGGTAGACGCTTCGAATTTTTTTGCCCCTTATTACTTTCTAGTATCTTGGCTGCACCTTCATCCCTCTTTCTCCAACCTTGCCATATTTCAAAAATACTAGGAAAGATGACTATTGTTTTTATACCCATCAAGCCTACCAACCTAAACCAGCTTCGAATGGTGCAAACTTTGCCAACCTAGGGTCAGTAATCGTACTCAAGAAGATAATTTTAGTTCGGCCAAATATGTAATCTTCATCTAGTCAGGAACTCTCTGCTCATTCATAAGAAAATGCTTGGCAGCCCTTAAAAGAGACTTTGAAAGTCTCGAAAAGTAAAACAACTTGTGACAAGCAGCAACCTTGTTCTGATGACTCAGTTTGCAAAAAGACTCTTCCGTGATACGACAGACTTCCTATCAAGTTACAAGTTGTTAAAAACGTGATGTAGTCCTCCCTTTTTACTCAGTGGTAAACAAAAGTAGTACCAACAACTGTATGGCCATGCCACTTCTCATCAGCGCTGACTTTCCGAGGTTCACTTCAACGCTCTGTTCTTCTGGATGGTTTGCTTCAAAGGGTCAGGTCAAGTAGACAACTTTTCAATAAGAGTCCCAGGGTCATTTGAAACAACGACAAAAGCCGATTTCAAGTGACTCAAAGATGATTCATGAAAGAAAAATAACTGATTCATGACCTTGAATGGTTTGTCTGGGCATTCAGGCGGAATCGGAAAGTGGCGGCACACCCACTTAGCTAACTGTGATTTCCTTCTCTTTCTTCACGAGTAGTTTCCAAAAGTTCGTTCACTTTCACAATGCTTGTGGTATATAATAGATTCCTCTTCACCTCGATTAATATCAATCAAATGCCCACTACTGGAACCCTCAGCGGGATGAGGTGGTATCTGGAACATTTAGAATTAGGTTTTCACAGTTGAAAGCGGGGCTTCAGCTCAGTCCACTTATTTACCTATTTGTTTACTCACTTACCTTATTTATTTGCCTATTCACTCCAAGTGAGACAATGTTACAATAACAAGCAAAGTAAAACATCAACACAGTTGTCACGAGAGATAAAAGTGTGGCTCGAAATTTGAAAAAATTCTTATCTCTACCGAAAAAAGGGATAAATCCAGTGAGATTAAGGCAACTTTCGGGAAAGATTTATACTGAAATAACCCTTCCGATTTGTTTTTTCAAGTGCTAACAATACTCGGCTCCTTGGTAGGAGACAAGAGTTCTTGATTGAATTCTTTCCCGAAAAAAGCCGTATATTATATCCATAACCCTACACTACCATAGTAATGTCCCAGAGCCGAACGAGAATCTATTAAAAATGCCTATTCCCTATTTAGTAGCCGCAGTAGCCCAAGTGAATGGTGAATGAATGATTTGCTGTGATGGAAGGCTAAATAAAAAAGACGGACCTCTTGTCATATGGACGTCAAATCAGTGATACTTCATAATAATCTTAGATACTTTGAATCGAATGGCTATGATCAGTGGCCTCACTGGGAAAGGATGGTTCCTATCACAACCAGTGTTAAATATTCGACCTGTGGGAGCAAAGATCAGAAAGAGCAGATGCTCTTTTAGAAGAATTATCAGCGCCATGATTACAATGTCCTATGGTGAAGCACATCCATCATATGGGCTAAGCCGAACAAGCCAGACAGCCAATTCTTTTCCTGACCTTAGGACACAGGTCTGGTCCCTCACATTGACCAGATGGAGTCTTAGTAGCGTATTACAAGTGTCTGTCTAGTTGATACGGTAGTACTGTCTTGATTAAGCGAAGTATAAATAATATGTATTGACCCTGATTCTTCTCAGCCATACTCATTTTGCACAGTACCGATTTCAAATGTGGTTGGTTACTGTTTTTATGAAAAAAAAAGTAAACGATGTTGTAGCGTTTACCACAACTTACAAAAAGCCTCGTTTTAGCCGAGCATATACATTAGATAGATATTGATTTACGCACATATTCACAGATACATTTAAAGTATGCAGCTAATGGTAAATAGCGATAAGGAACATTACAGTCTTTGCTGTACTACTGAAATGACTTGTTTATTGAGCTGTTTACAAACCGTACTGTACACATTTATTTGTTTGTTTTTCTCCAGAACGTACCTTTTGCCAAGGAAACTTGATAATACTACCTCATAGTAAGCCTGAGCTCCCTACCAGATACTCGTACTTGAGAGTTAAGTGATCCAGTGGATACAGTACCACACGGTCACGTTCCCTCAACTGAATTCGAGAGCGGGATTTTTCTTGAAATCGCTAGTCAACTAATGGTAAGAAAAAAAGATAAATGTTTCTTGAAGAAGACAATAGTCTAATTTAGGCATTTTCTGAGAGTATGAAATAAATAAATAAACAAATAAATAAATTTTTGAGGATAAACATGGGAATCACTGAATATTTGTTACTATCAAGCTTTTTCCCACGATGGCGATATGTGGCAAATTCATGCCGTCAGAAATGTAACCGATGGCTTCACACCTTCTCCAGAGAAGTTTTCCAACTAAAACTCTATCGGTGAAAAACTGCTCGGAATGTGAATCCCTAATAGGAACATTTGTAATACAGAGAGAGATAAGGGAAGGAGGGAAGGAAAGGGAGGGAAAGAAAGGGGAGAGACAAAGAGCGAGACATCATGTTGTGCATGAAGCACATACAATAAAACACAATTTTTTGCGATGAACCGTTCCCTGAGGAGACTGAACCAATGTTCTTTGAAATGACAAATATAGTAGTAAGTCGTTGGCTCATTTAGCCGCTCAGCTTTTATTAAATTCAATAGCTCCATTTAATGACTGCAAAAATCTCTTGACTAATTCTAACAAATTCGGTCTTCGGCACTATTCATACTACCGTAACGGTCATACTTGTAATTCAATATTAGTGTCTAACATGCCTATCAGTAATTTTTCACGACAGCAAATGCTTTTACATAAACAGCTAAATCTCGCTTTTTTTACAGATGCCACCTTCCAGTTCACTGTCACTTGACAGCTATGATCTTCCTTTCTTGGTGGGCACCTCAAGAGGTTTTCAGTCCTTGTGCTGTGTTATTGAGGTACGATATTTTGATTACATATCGTTAATGATAACTCACCTGAGTCAATACTTAGCTGGACGAAAAAAAACCAACGAAACACGCATTACGTTGAAGCAATCAACGAAAAAACTCATTAAACACGCGTCAAGCCAAAAAAATCAAAAAGAAAATTCATGCATCATTATGCATTTTTGAACCTCTGAACTCAAGCAATCTCTAAGGAGTATTTTGTGAAAACGCGAATTTTTCGCGCGCGACGAGCGGTACAACTCTTTGGCCCTTTAACCCAGATAAGTCACGACAAAATGAATTCCTTGTAATACGTACTGTACAACTTTCCTGCTCAACTATGCTCATAGAACTCGTTATGTCTCCAGCTTTTTCTCAGGTTTTCCATTATCACACCGCATTCCCTTACCAGAAAAACCCCCTATTACAAAAGCCTTTCAACGAGGGCGTCTTAGTTAGTCAATGGAACCCCCGAGAAAGAGCCATCATCGAAGGAAAACAAGCTGGCCTTTGATTCCTTCCTTCCTTATTTGCTGATAGTGCAATCCCGGTACAGTGCTGTTGAAATGATTCATCCTCCCGTGATGGTGGCCACTGATAAGATCAGTTCAAAATCAAGATAAACCTATAACACTCCATATTGAAATGAAGAAGTACATGTGAACAAAAATTAAAAAGTGGGTGAAAAAGTGGATCTTCTAGAAACTTTATTGATTTTTATTGATTGATTTCCTTACTGATTTAGTTGCTCATGATTTACTCGGAATCAGGATCGCTCAGCATGTTCGCCTTCCTCAGTTATTCTATCATATGCGGTTTTGCTCTATTTCATGTATCCAGAAGATGGTAAGTACAGAATATCAAGTGACTCTTATAGGTAGGTATAGTGCAATGGTAAGAGGCGCTGTTATCACACTTAACGCGACAGTAATCTATTTCAACGATGAATCTCCAATTATTTCTCTAGAGTGGCCACTACTTCTTGAAGGCTACAGTCGTAACCAGTGACTAGTCTGGACAGCTTTATATCGGAAGGTCCTTTTCAGTAAGCCCACGTGGGTTAATTCAAGGCAGGCATACAACTTTCTTGCCAGTGCTCAACTTTTATGGAGTGAGCTACGCACTCCATCTTTCTGAAAACTGAACCCGGCAAAGGAAACTACAACTGATCCCATAATCGCGCATAGCTTATGATCCACAACCCACATAAAATTCGGCTAATGGTAAGGCCACTGCACTGGAAAAGGCTCCCATGTGTCCTTTCTCCCCAATCTTTTATATGATAACTGCGTTTGTGCGGGAAAGCAGTAGAATAATAAATTAGATGGATATACATTTACAGTATCGAATGTGAATAAAGTAATAGTTAAAATTATTTTAAATAATTAATGTACCCATGTAAAACTCTTTGGGTGATCACCCCAGTTTAGGCAGATGGGTTTTAAGAATAAGAAACTACAACATCGCTTACGCAGTAACCTGTGATTGATATTGAGGGCTTTCAGAAAGGTATGGTCCTAACTGACGAAGCATTATTCAGTGGACTTAGGCAGGCCTTTATTCTTAAGGCAGATTTGTGGCAACTACTGAACCGAGGAACCTCTTCGGCTGGCGGCAAGCGGCTAGGATCGAACCTTACGCGGTGACTAGAGCCAAAACAGCTTCTGAGCTACAAAACAGTTTCTGAGCTAGGATTGAACTACAATATGAGGGCAGTCAGGAAAGTAACAGCCAACAGCGCCTGTTGCCACTGCACTATAAACAATTTCGAAAATTTGAGCTCATAACCCATCTTAGGTACTACAACCTTGATGGACGCTACGATTTGAAGCAATTTCTTCGCGAAAAAGAAATAACAGTACGTGTACAATACGGTTTAGGTAAGTACTTACCTTAGCTACCGTATCCTGACTAGTTTAAGGTCTTCGCTCACATTTGTTTTCAGCGGTATTTACTCCAACATTGATGGCACTCATCATCTATTGGCTGATCGAACTACAAAACGGCTTCGTCCATTCGATCTTTCGACTAGCAAGCATCGTACAGCTATTGATGGCAATCGGCCAACTTGCACTCGAATTTTATGAGGTGTTCGTTCGTGGAAACTGAAGAACTCTCCTGTAACAAACACACACTTTCATAACATACAGTATAATAACATGATGGAATAAACGTATTAAATTTTTATTTTTAATAAAATCAATAAAATAATTTCGTATTCTTTGTTAATGTACAAAACATCCGTAGAATCCATTTTATACATTGCGAAAATTCCGTCTCTTCAGAAGACGAATTAGACTAAATAGCTCCTTCAACAAAACCTACCAGTCGATTCAGGGACGGGCAGTAGGAACGGCTTTGTAGAATCGATCCGCCGCACGCGGCTGTCGCGGACCATTTGCCTCATTACAGTAGTTCTAGCGATCTTCATACAGCTTAATCGCTATGCGATTATTACTTATGGCATGATTCTACTGTTAGTTCTTTTGTTTCTTCTTTCTTACTCGCTGCTGCATTCTGCCACATTCCTTCGCGCGCGGCGCCTCTCGCCGCGACGCGACAGTTTCGTTTCTACTGCACCACACCCGTCGATTCAGTTACAGTTATACTAATATTGAGTTCTCCTGTAAATATCCATTCGTCCTTGCATTTCTACTACACCCAGCAAGCCGCATCTTCTCGAAGTCCCGCCCATCATGAAAGCACCACCCCTTCTAGGAAAAATGAATTTCAGCTCAAGTGTTCCCTAAAAAGGGGATTGGGCATTGAAAGCATAGGAAGAAGGAAGGGGGAGAGTAAAATCAAATCTTGTTAATGACCAGGTATCACCCATTTTTACGTAACATTCCAATTAAAAAGTACAATTTGAGTTAAATTATCTAACTGAAAAGAAAATCACTGTTGGGCATTCTCTTAGTGATTCTACTCAATAAGTAATAGAGAGCAAGTATAAAACTGAGTAAAGAATCAGAGGGAAGACCAATTTAACATCATGTAAATAAATAAAATAATAGTTAATAAAAAGTTTGAAGTGTTAAAAACATAACCACAATGTAGTAGAGTAAAACTAACCTCAGCTGAGCGACATCCTGCCGTTTTGTGATCGATATGGTAAGTGGCTATAGCAAATCAATTCGTCCACGTTCCTTTTAGAAACTTCGATCGGGGTGGTCAACCGTTGGTTAAACTGTCTTGAGATCACTCAAGTTCAAGCAGGTGAGTAAAAGTGTGAAGAATCATAAGTATTAACCGTACAGTAGCCTGAGATAAGTGATGGAATCCCTAAAAATGGCACAGTCTTGCCTTGAGGAGAACTAGTTGATATAATCAGCTAACCTACTCTTGCTTGGAAGAAGAATGACATTTTCGCTTCCGCACTCACCCGCAACATTTTTTCTTCTTCACCTTACGGCACAGTTAACGATAACTCTGGGGTACCACCTTTCGGTCGAAAAGCGGAAGTAAAGGTTGGAATACTTTAAAGGAATAAAAAGCGAGAAAAGTCGCCAACTTCGCCATTACCATGACGGAAATAACATGGAAGGCGTCTCCGGACAAGGCGCAATTTTTTCAAATGCACGAACACCTGACTACATAAGGCCAGAACTATACAGAACTGTCTTTCACTGTCGCTGTCGCTATGGATCATAACTAGCTTATTGAACTAATGGTTCAGATGAAAGCTTACCTGATCACAAAGGCAGAACTTCATCCTATTACGATGATAGCGAAGCCCTTCCTTCGGCTTCGGTTCAACGACCCCCTAAACGAATAGGAGCCTACACGAACTCGTCAAACTCGAAATCACGATTAAAACTATTCTATCAAAATGTGATGCAACGTTACATTCACTAACAGCCAACTTCTTCCCGATACGCTACGCATTTCGCTTCATCCTAGATAATCTACATCTTTGGATGTGCTTTGAAACCATCCAAATGATTTCGTTTGAAATTTAGTGACGACAATTTAGAACAACTTACCCATCACGACAATTTAGAACAATTTACCCAACGTGATCAGAGAAGTTTATTGGATATACTCTATAACCTTAAAGGTGGGCATGATTCGACGCTTTTAGTATACAGGCATCGCAGGGTTTCGCCCAGTAGCACTCCTACCAGTCTAATACAAGTATTAGCAAACCTCCTGTTACGTCAGCTCTGTTTGTTGCTGCTACCGCCTTCGTAAACGATTCCTGCACAAGCGAAAGCTGCACCGCTAATCAGAATAGCACACCTCGAGACCATCTCAAACTACCATTAATTCCACAATAACAAACACAAACATGAAAATCAACGATGAAGAAGACATTTATTTATATTTATATTTTCTAAACATCAAATCCGATACCCAAAAAAGCTATTCGCATTCATTCGTACACGATGTGAAGTAATTGCAAGTACGGGGCAGAGCAATACCATTAATTCCACAATAACAAACACAAACATGAAAATCAACGATGAAGAAGACATTTATTTATATTTATATTTTCTAAACATCAAATCCGATACCCAAAAAAGCTATTCGCATTCATTCGTACACGATGTGAAGTAATTGCAAGTACGGGGCAGAGCAATACAGAAAAAAATAAACGGAAAACTTCGCAACGAATGAATTATCACAGTAGATGGTGTATGTATGTGTTGCTAGAAAGAGGTGAACACTCCGCATTGAATCAATCACTGCTCTAGTAATGGACAGCTAGAACGAATGGATCTAAATGGGATCATAAAGATCAAAGGGAGGGTGATTTTGGACGGAATAGATTGCTTCAAAGGCACAATATATACAAGATGAACAATAAAACAAACAAAAATATAGTTACGGCGGAAAAATGGTTGGATAAAGCCGCGACTAACCTAGTGATCAGACAGCCGTTGGGAGGAATACAACCGGACGGGGCTGCATATTGCATCAGGACAAAGAAAACATTATAAGATATTTTCCCTTTCACCCCTAAAAGCGAAAACTAACAAAAAGATGGAAATGTGAATGGTGAATGGATGGACAGACGGATCCATGAATTCCCTGACCATGCAGGCCAGAAAAGGAGCGGAAACAACCGCAGTGGCACAGACAGAAAACGTCCATAAAATACTGCATCGGATTGCTGACTCGCAAATGCTACCATCAAGTTTTAGGCCTAAAATCCAGGAATTTGTTCAACAATATACAGAAAAAGTAATGAGGGTATTAGATCTCATGACAAAAATGGAATGAAAGCAAAGTAGGTTGTCAAGGCTCAGCAGTAGCTCTCGAGAAGCACTATTACTCTGACTCGATTTACTTGAATTCACTTTAGCTACATGCCCATTTAAAATTGCTAAACGCCAACAAACAGGACGTTTGCCTGAGGCTTTTTCTGTTTTCTGGTACGGACCCTCAATAGAAAAACCTTTTCTGAAAAAGAGGTCTACAAATAAAACATCTCGCACCATAGTTCACTTTTAGCAGACGTGTCATTCAGTTCAGCAGAAAGTGCAATTCGTGTTTCACGGTCAAATAAAAACTTCCACTTTCTAGTAGTGATAAACAGATGCATGGAATTGCTGGCATCACCTCTGCTCCAAATAATTCATACCCCCTGAGATTACAAGCGGTTCTCTTCATAAACTGACTTTGAAATTTCATTACTCCCCGATAGGAACTTCAAATTTTTCGGAAAATTAGACGATCACTGGCCATCAGCACCTCCGCGCACATTCTCACGCTGTTACGCAACAGAGAATAAAAAACGAACAAACGTAAGAGTAATTCGAATAAAACACAAAATGGATTAAGCAAAAGCGGAAAATACTGACTAAAAATCAACCGAATTTGTGCCATGGGAAAAAATTTCGAGCATGTATGCACACCTGCAGTGATTGCTCGCATTACGTAGAATATTTTTCTTTCGCTATTATGCTGCCCCAAGTCCGCCCTTCGAATGGCAGCTTGTTGCCTATGGAGATTCTTCCAGATACACTTTTGAAATACAGGAGCAAAAGAAGCGGGAGTAATGACCTGTTGATATAATCTCTACAACCTCATACTAGAACTAAATTCGTTGCTCTCCTCAGGTAGCAACATCAAAACCTTTAGATTACCAATGCATTTGACAATCTTCAAAAGTCTGAAATGCGAAGCGAAGCTCGCGCTCACTTTGCGGATATCCATCACCAATAACCCCTGGATCAACAGCGCTTATGTCTCATCCCATGGGAATACCTTGGCATGGCAGAAAACGAAAAATCGATGATAGCATCCCTGCTAGACAGCTCTAATGCAAAACACATGCCTTCCGCGTATTGAATGCAATGCAAAACATTCCCAATATCAATGAATCTACACAATAAAAATCCTTACCAAAATAGTGCAAACTACTTGCTGAACGCCTCAAACACAGCCCACATCACTTCGTTCCCTTTCTTTTCCGCCTGAGCATCGTATTCCAGCTCCAACAATGATCGAACCCTTTTCATTGCAACCTGTAAAAAGAAGATTCACAAAACTGGTATAAATGCCAGACATAAATGTATTTACGTTCCATTTCTCATATCGAAAGAACCGATTATAATATGGAATAAAGCTGCCCATTTTTTCTGTAATCAACTTCAAAACGTGCAGTATCTAATATATGAATGCATAGGGATTCTTGGTTATTAAATGCTTAAGGAAAAAGCAATTCTCTTATTCCAGAAGATCGAATCAAGCGAATTTTTACACTATGTGTTTGGAAATAC